CCCTTGCTCTTCAGTGACTCGGTCAGCGCTAAAGATGTTGGATGGGAAGCTGCAGCTGGAATAGTGCCAAGGCGAGATTTGCTCCAGGGCTTTTCGGATCCAGTCTTCCAGCAAAAGCGCAAGGACCGCGTTCTGGGGGAAGCCCGTGAGCAGGGAGCAAAGCAACAACAGCCAACGAAGATCAACGAAGCTTGCGAAGCTGTTGCCTTGTCATGCAAGGAGCTGGTTGCGTCCCTCCAGCTGGCAGCTCAAGCTGTGCTCGATCGCGTTGCTGCCATGTGCAATGCGTCGAGGCACACGGACCCCAGGAAGTTCAGCGCAGAACGGCAGAAGCTCTTCCTGACAGTGCAGCTGCTCACCTGCAGCCGAAAGGTGAAGGATTTGGAAGGCTTGTTGCAGAGTCTTGTGGCCTGCTAGTGACTGTTAGTGGCCTGCCAAGGAGGGTGGTCCTGCCCAAGTATGGCTTTGAGGGTAACCCCAAGGCTGTGTCTTTGCCTGGGTGGATGTGTGAGACATCTTTAGACTGTTAGGGCGTCTTCGACATGCTGGCGCAGTTCGACCGACCCGAGATCACCTCCAACGGAGAGTTTCAGCACCAGGCAGAATTTTCTAGTTGCTCGCGTCTTCGCAAATGCCTTTATCCCGTGCCGCCTTGCAGGGAGCAGTGCTGAACCACCTTCTCTTCAGCGAGGAGTCTGCCGTAGAGGCCGCTCCTGCTGAGGCGGTGCAGGCTGCGGCCCCAGTTCTTCCTGCAGCAATTAGCTGGCAGAATCTAAATCTTCAGCACGACTGGCATCAGCTTCATGGTCGTCTGGCTGACATTTTCATTCAGGTCTGCCAGATCCCACACACCTCTAAAGATGCTGACATAACCATACAAACAGGTGCCTCTGGCTAAGTCCCAACCTCATCCAGTCGGTTCAGCACGAGAATGCTGTTGTCTCTGATGTTTTTTCGGTGAAGTTAAAGCAAACGCAACCGCCGCGCATCGCATCCGTCGAATGGCGCCAGTGAATTGATGTGTATTTCCCTGAGGCATTGGCACCCTTCAAATGCTGTAGATTTCTGATGTTGTTGGCCTTGCTCGCCGTGCATGAAATACCTGCGCTTGATTAGAAACAAAGGTAACCGCATTAGGTCCCTTTTTTTCGGACGGCCCTTCTGCACAGTCTGTAGAACCAACCAAGTGATTATAGAAAGACAAACTTTTCGTCTTAGTCCGCAGATTCAAGATTGCTTCTTTTGACTTCCAAAGAAACAATTCGTGCTAAGGCCAGTCCGGAGTCCGCAGTA